TGGGAATAGGAAAAGAGTCTGAGCATATTTTAGGATTTACACCTATTTTAAAAATCACCACATATTCTTATATTCCATCTGCTTTTTGCAAGACTACAATGAGAGAAATCCATTTACTGCCACCTGAAGGAACGTGCTTCAAAATTCCCTCCTTTACCATTTTCTTTAACTTGACAACAACTAAAGGTAGAATGTGAATAGGTAAATTACAAGATTCAAAATAAGAGCAGGTACTATTTTCCTTTAATTGTATACTTCCTTTATACTGCATTAACACTTACATTTTTACTTTTTCTGATTTTACATTACTGATTAATTCCAACATATCCATCTTTAGCACATCTAGTAGTCCATGAATTTTTTTACATTCAAATGTTCAAAGTTTTCAAATGTTCCATTGAAGTATCCTAAAGTTTTTATAAAAAAAAACAAATTTTCTCAATTTAGGTTTATCCATTTGTTCCCAGAAATTTCTTGGGCCCAAACTGACTTGACTACCTGTATCCACTTGCATTGGAAACATCATTCCATGTAATTTTTTCAAAAGAATTATTTTCCTTAGGTCTTTGCATTGAAAAAAAAAAAAAAAAAAAAACGTCATCAGTTCTCATTTTCTATATACTATTTTCAACTTTGCATACAAACTGAAAATTATTTTGTGGCAGTTATGACAAATTTTTCCAAAAACAAGCTACTTTTTTCTGTCAATTTCTTGCTCATACTTACAGTATTTACATTTCTTTTTTATATTGTACATTTCAACATTGTCCTCAGTAGAATTATATTTTTTTATCAATTCCAGCTGTTGTATAATTTCCACACATGCAGTTAGAGATAAATTATTCCTTTGTAATTGTTCCAATATCTTATATTTATGAAATGTATCAGCCATACCTTCAATCAACTCATCCTCACTAGTCAAATTTGGAGTTCCAAGTTTCTCAAATTTGCAGAATCTGCTAGCTTCTCTTAATCTGTAAAAATATTGCATAATTGATTCATATTGTTTGTTTAATGGACAGAAATTTGGTTCTTTCCACTAATACAAATTTTTTTTAGGTCATAAACTTATTTTTAGAATTTCTGAAATTTCAATGACACTCAAATTCTCCAATTGTTTGGGGTATGCCATAACAGAAATTTTCATTATAGCTTCACAACCTGCCGAAGCTAGAAAGAGGCCATTTTCTTCCCCTCTTGCCTGGTTGTCTTTCAATTTTTTAGCCCTAGCCTGGACTACGATACAGTGGATCCAAGTCTTGATAAATTCTGGTTCATCTAAGCAACTTAAATATCCTATCGGTGATACCATATTGTTCTATTATGTTGTTCTACATGTGACCAGTAGTCAACTTCCCTGCTTCCTTGTCTTTTAGTTTACTATACACTTTATATCTCTTCTACTTAACTTATGCAAATAGGTACAATCCTATTTACCAATCTACTATAAAAACTTAGACAAAATAAAAACAAAAATTTAAAGGAACCATTGAAGGAAACTGCTCTACACTTTACTTATGAACATAGCATTAATAATAAAATCTCTTTCCTTAATATTTTAGATTCTATTAGTAAAAAATTCACTTCTTCACTAAATAAAAAACCCACAAGCAAAAATCCTCATCAATTTAGTTAAAGTGATAATTCTCACAAAAACAGCTGTGATAAAGAACATGATCAACCATGCTAAAATAATTTCTTCTTCTTCACACACATAAGAATTGAGCAACATGAACAAACACTTGACAATAGTTTCCAAAGTCATGTCATTAACAAGAAAATAAAATTGGCTTTAAAGAGTTTTAGAAAAAGAAGTACAAGCAATCATACTGATATAAACAAAAATGAAAACATAAGCTTAATCTATTTTTTATTATTCAGTTGGTTTAGTTTAGGCATTCATAAGTCTATCACACCAACCACCACTGTCTTGCATCAAGGTCGTAATGTCATTAGGGAGGCATTCTGTATCATAACATAGCTGGTCAATGTAGGTGGTTTTGGGCAACCAACTCGTCTTGCCCCATGGCTAGGTGTCCAGAACAGTATATCAGTTCTTGCTTTACTTGTCAGCAGTGTCTTGGAAAGGACATTCTGCTTTCGTGTATGACTGTAGAAATATCAGGGATGGGTCCATAGAGCTGTGATTTAGTTGGATGTTGTTTCCAGATGTTATGTATAGCCCTCAGCATCTAAGTGTAGGCTCCATCAATCTTAAACTGCTGGATTTTAGTTAATGCCCAGGCAGTGGCACTATACATCAATACTGCCTCTACAGTGGCTCAAAATGTCAATTTTTTTTTTTTTTTTTTTTTACATACCTAGGAAGCAATATAAATTCTTCTGGGCCGCCTTGAATAAAATGGATGTAATCTGGAAATCTGATCTACCAGACATCCTCAAGCGGAGAGTCTTTCAAGCTTAATCTGCTATAACTAAATACACCTGAACTATAAAAAAGATGAAAAAGCACTTGAAAATATAATTTATCAATATATATCACTTAATTATTGTAATGCCTAAGATTTATCATTTAAAAAATGTTAAAATATTTAACCTAATCATTACCAATAAATAACAACAGATTCAAAATATCAGCTAAATGGGAAAACAAAATTGTTCATGAATTCTAGTATCCTTTGGGAGCTTATAAAATATAAAAGAAATGAACCATAGAATAAATTTACATAGAATTGATGATTTAATGTTGGGAGATAAGAGCAAAGAATATATATATTTTGTATTATCATATGAATAATTCCTTTGACAGAAACATTAATAGAGACTTCAAACATCTAACAATGTAAGGATGGCATTTTCATGACAGCATCAGTCCTTCATGTATATGGTGGGTTTGTTCTTTGGAGACAACACATCTAGTAACAGATGGAGGGTCAACCTCATCCTATTATAATAATCCTGAGAACTGAAGAAATTACCCCTTAGAAAAATTTAACAAACTGTTTTTATTGTCCACATAATAAAAAAAATAATGTTTTTAGTTTGTACAATTTATAAACAATGGACTTTTGTTGTTTATTGACTAAACTCCATGAATGAAACAAGAACTGCTTTAATAAGTATATGTAAATATAATAATCAATATAATGATTTTCAAGCCTTTTTTTCATGAGTATATATTTTGCTGACATTGTGCCTTTGATGTTTCTCAAAAAAAAAAAAAAAAAAAAAAAAATGCCTGGGAAAATATTTACATAATGCATAGACAAAATTTAGTCAAGTACTCAAGTATCTATTCTATATAAAAGCACAATGAAACTAAACATTTATCGGTCATGCAACCTGATCTTACCTCCTTAGTAATTAGATATTCCAACATGGTGGCAGGAAGCATAATTCAACACAAATAAATGAATAAATCATTAGAAAACGGGGCATTTATGCTGCTTATACACTGCCCTTTGTGTCTTTAAAGAAGATAGTATTTTAGAAATTCACTCCCGCCATGACTTTAGGTGGGTGCGAGAAGTGGGGGTAAATTTTACTGAACATTTGTGAAGAATAGGAAACTTATACTGGTATTATCAAAACATTTAAACCTTTTCTTGTCGACTTTCTTTGACAGATAATTTGAGGAAAGTTGTTTTTAATAGAGGACCCCACACACTTTCGCATGATGAGGCTTTCCAAAAATTGTCCAGTTTCCTTTTAGATTTTGCCGCTGGAGTTCGGTTGAGTCCTGACCCCTACTCCTTTTCCTTTTAAAAGGGAAAGTTCTGCTTGGAAGACGAGCCCCCAGGAACACGGCTACAAGTACGAAATTTCAAAAGCCAATAAATAATCAGTTATCTCGGTTAAAAATTAGTGAAATAACTAATAATCATTCTTTAATTGTTTTTTTTTTTTTTTTAATGGAAACATATGGAGTTGTAAATTAACAAGAGTTGGAGATGTCACTTTTTCTTTTTAAACACATTTTTTTTCATTTCTTTTCTTCCCAAGCCTATTTTCTTTTTTTTTCACGATAGTCACTTTCAAGAACAAATAAAACAATTTGATTGACCATAATCCTTCCTTTTTTATCATACACTTACTTACACGAGAAAAATACTTTTTCTTTAACATATCTGAAAATCGTTGAAAACTGGTGAATTTACCCCCCCCAACCCCAAAATCACACCCACATACAAAAAAAAAAAAAAACAAACAAACGAAAAAACAAAAAAAAACCCTCAAACAAAACCTGTACTCAGATCAGGTAAAGTAGTTGCCAGCTTATCATAAAAATATACTGCACATTAGCAAAGAGGAAAAAATATTTAAACGATGTTTAGTTTACTTGTTTAGGAATCTTTCCTTCTCTGGTAAACAAATCAAACTTTGAAGGATTTGTTTGTTTCCACAATTAATCATCCATTATTGATCTTTTTAATTCTTTTTTCATTTTTTTTTTCTTCAAGCTGCGTACAAGAAGTTAATGTTTTTGTGACAGTTTTTAATAAACAGAATTTAAATTTACGAATCAAGTAGTTATACGTTTTTTTTTACTTTTAGTTTTATTGTTAATTTTTGTATGACATCATCGTTTGACTGAAATCCGAATTTTATTTGTTGTCAGCAAGGAAGTTGAAATTATGTAAAAGTGAAAAAAAATCGTATATTTCAACATTTAAAACTCACTAAATTAATTTACTTGAAATCCTAAAAGTACGCTAGTCATTTTGTTTTCTGACGCCATAATTTATTTAGTAGACTACAGCTGATTAAACCAATAAAAAAAAAAAGAAAAAAAGAGAGACCTGAAAACAATACTCGAAAAATTCTTTAGAATTAAAAACCATAGAAAAATACACCCACGAGTTAGACGATTATACATAAATCTTTTTTTTTTCATTTCTTTCGTCAACTTTAAATGGTAATTTTTTAAAAAGAGAATGAACTCAGTACTTCGTTCATTCAAATTAAAAGAGATTGAAATGTTTATATTTTTTTAGATGTGTAGCTTTATATGGTTTGTTAGATTAAAGGTGACTACTTACCCATGTGTGTAGTGTCAAGTTTGACAGCAGGTTGGTCTTTAAGAGGTACATGCCCAGAACTAAAACCACTTCCAAGGGCGCAACATCGTAAACAACAAAAACAGGCCGCCATACTGTCCATGGCCAGACGATGAAGACCAACAAGCGTCATACTTAACTGCAGACGTATGAAAAGTTTCAGTGCCAGGACATGGAGTCAAACGAACAATGATTTTCTTTCGTTTTATCAGTTTATAAGTTGGTTTCTAGTTCTAATAACTACGCACTAATCAAAAGGTGTACATTCCATATAATAAACAAATAAAAAGTTAAAGAATGAATATTGAAGATGAGCACATTAATTACTTTAATCATTAAAGTATACCAAAATCGTCTTAAAAAAAACAAAAAAAAAAACAACAACATATTGGAAGAGAAAGTTAAGAGAAAAGTAAATGGGTAAGTTCAGAAGAGTGCATTAAGAGAAAGTTTATTTTTTTATTTTTTATTTTTTTAATTATTAGGGACTGAGTATTCATAATGTAATGGGCCAGTAGGCTGGTCTTACAAATGTTATACACTAGTTATAATGCAAGCCATTTACAGCTAATTTTGTCCTTGTCAACATGATATAAATAAATACTGACAATGGTTTATCAACCCTGTAGCTGAGATAGTTATATATTTCCAGTTGATACCAATGGAGGGTGTTACAAGATTTCAAGTACTGATTTTTCATGCAGGCCTCTACCAATTGAAAGACTAGCACAACACAATCTTCATATTTGATCTTTGATACTCAATAAACACCAACACTGACATTGGTTGTTTTAAAGTATTTACAAATTTCTTAGAATGTAGAGAATTTTTTTTTTAGCCAAATTAACTCTGGTATACTCTCCATCTATCTCACTGAATTACTCTACAATAGTGGCCTTGTGCTACATTTAGTAAATATCTGCTCTGGAGCACTTGCTGTGGAACAATTAGTCTGCTTGTGCATTGCTGCTCAGTTCATTTCTCGATGATTACACTATTGTAGTTTCTGCCAAATTTAGTTACATGAATATATACAAATGTTGAAATGTCATCTATTTTACTCAAACCAATTGACCTTAAAGTTCTAAAACATTTTTATTCAACCTTGATAACTTGTGTAAAAACAGCTATCCATAAATTTATATAAAGCAGAAGTTTTCATCTCACCATTTTGAAATCTATAAGAAACATGAAATTTTAAAATTTTTTAACAGACATTTGTTGATAATCTGAAATCTATATATCTTGAATATTGACTAAATCACTAAAGATATAGATATATGACCTTGACATTTAAAACTGAAATATCTTCCAGGTTACTCTAACTGGTTTAATTTTGAAAAAAAAAAGAAAAAAAAGTGAACTTAGTAGAGCTCTTTAGATATTGATTTCTTTTCATTTTATCTGCAGTAAATTCATTTCAACATTTTATCAGTGAACACCCAATTTGGATCTATCAACAACTTCCACAATGAATTCATTAACTATCAGTGGAATGCTCCCCCTAAATATGTATTACTAGAAATTCATTTTGACATTATTTCCCTTTAAAGTAAAATTACCATAATTTCCAGCTTATGATATAAGCACATGGACAAACTCAGGTTTAATTTATTTTTAAAAGGAAAAATTGATACAGTTCATAAAATTATTCTAAAAAGGTGTGTTTACAAAAGTTTTTTCTAAATATATAAATGGTATACATGCTTTTTTCTTGAGAAAATATTTCATGTTCACAGCAAAAAGCTTTTCTGTTAATAGGAAACAAACTAATATTCTGACTAGATTATACTTACTGTGAAAGGAAGTATTGTAAGAGTTTCTGGGCTGCTATCAGCAATAATTTTAAGTCTTGTTTAAGCTTGATATAATTTTTGATATGTGAAGGTAACTGCTTGTCATAATTTAGAACAAGCTCCCTATTTTCATGTCAAACTTTTAATCAAAAGAAAAAAACAGTTGCAAATATGACAAAAGTTTTACAACAATATTTATTTACAAAAAAGAAAAGACAGTAAGATAAACAAGAAATATGTTAAGTCCCAAATCATCCAAATAATGCTTTGCCTCTGTGGTTGAAACTGCAAAATGATTGGCGGTTGCTCAGCATCTCCCAATTCCTGAAAATAAAGCAACTCCTATATAAGCTAGTAAATAACAATGGACAATGATCAATCATTTAATATAATGAAACTTTTTTTTAATCATTTCACCCCAAGCAAGGTGATAAAAGCCACTAAGAGGCAAGTGTTACTAAGAGTGACAGAAACCTAGAAGACAATTAAAGAACAGGATTCAAGGAAACAAAAGATAACTTAGGCTCAGTGAAATCATGGTGAGCAATAACTGAGCAATACTAAATAAAGAACAAGATCTTAAAAAAGTACAAAATTTAATTATAGCAAAAAGACAATTAAAAAGGGATGAAAAGGGAAAACAAATATGGTAGATTAATGTGAAAAAAATAAAATAAAATAAAAGCAAATAACAGATCGATTTAACAGGTTATTGTTCTTCACTTATCACAACTTGATTGTAAGATTCTAGGACACAAATGACTAAAAAAATTTTATTTTCCTCAATCAAATTCTGATAATGATAATGGAATGATAACTTGTTAGCACATTGTTATTTTTTTTTTACTTTTTTGCATTAAACTATAGTAGTTGAGATTCAATAAAGGGTTCAGTTTGAAATTCCCTGAATGTTTCTTGGGTGCTTGTTGTTCCAAGTAAGAAAAGAGGGCACAATGTCTGGAACATTGTAATAACAAAGACATTGACAATAGTTTAAGTGTAAATAAGTTGAGGCTCTCAGAAGAAAAAAAAAAAAAAAAAAAAAAAAAAAAAAAAAAATCACTTGATTGTAACTTTGCAATGACAAAAATAAATTCTTTTTAAATACATAGCATAAGATTTTTTTAAACTTAAGTTTAAAATGCCATATCAATCTAGCAGGGATATGAAATGTAAAACCTTTATTTTCTACTAATTCTAAGTTTTAGTTATATTTACAAGATAACCAAAAAAAAAAAAAAAAAGAAAAAAAGTCCTTGCCGTTTTTAATTTATTTGGAAAAAAAAAGAGAGAGAGAGAAAAGGTATACAGCAAATTTGACATACTGTTAGTCCTCAAAATAATCCCCATCAGCATCCAGAACCAACATGCATCCAGCTCTGCAATACATTGTGTCCAAGATGCCAGATTTTTACTGACAAAGAAATCTGCGAGTGCTTGCCACAAATCTGCCTCGTTTACAAAGGATTTCCAACAAAGATGATTGTCCAGGGAATGGAAGAGATGGTAATCTACTGGCATAAGGTCAAGGAAGTACGGTGGATGGCATGGTGTCTCCCAGCCAAGATGCCATATCGTATCCTTGACCATTTGCATCACATGAGGCCTAGCATTGTCATGGAGAAACAGTACACCCTTGTGATTAACCAATGCTGGTTCCTTCTACTTCAGTGCCTGTTGTAAATGTTCCAATTGCTGCAATTACAGGCCCACAGTGATGGTTTGGCCCATTAGTAGCTGCTTATAGTGCACCACTTGTCATCTAGTCCAGCAGATACAGAGCATAATCTAGCATGGGTGTAGAGGTGGTCTTGTGGTGTGAGGCACAGCATCCTGTGGTGACAATCATTGTCTGGTACATTTGGGAGTGTCACTGGTGAGCACTCAATCAAATATAGGGTATGCTGCGATGCCAAGAAAAAAACAAGAAACAGGCTGTCACTCGTTGCTTGTTAGCTACCGACAGTGTGTGGACACCAACTTGCATGCATTCCCTATGCGGTGCAGGTGAAGTTTCATCAGAAACCTGGAAGCATTTGGCAAACTCACCACAGGTTCAGTTATTGTTTTGGCCTCCTTCAGTGCCTCATCATCCAGGACCTGTGACCAACCACTGCAGGGTTCATCACAATAGGACAGATCTGACCTGAACTTCTGGAACCATTGCCTGGCAGGCTTGACATATAAGACAACTTGATGTAGCTGCAGACAAGTCTACCTTTAAGTCATAAAGCAAACAACTCCAAATGAGCTGCTTCAACACTGCCATATTTCCTTGCTGCTGCTTGAACTATGACAGATGGGTGTAATGCACCTGCATAGGTCAGGAGCAATTCTTTATCATATGGCTGAGATTAGTTTCAGACTTGATCAAATTTTTTAAAATCTGTGCTTAAAATATTTTGTAAATTTTCTTACATTTTACTTTAATAATATCCAATAAGCTTTAATTATGCTAATATTGAGAATATGGGCTGCTTTGATAGATTTTAGATAAAAATTTATTATCAGCATAAAAAAAAACTAAAAAGGTGAATAAATATTAGCCTATTAAAATTTTCTTTCATATTGTGCAATACTGTATTAAAGCTTGAGATATAAAGATTATACTTCAAGAAAAATCAGTTGACCTAGCCAAGGTAATTCTGGGAGTCAACATATTTAAAGAAAGTAGTTTTTGTAATAGTATAATTATATTAAGAGACAGATAATGATAATTACTAATAAAAATTTGTTGAATAACTCTACTCTGGGTTTCATGGAATGACATTCACTCAAATCTCCTGAAGAGTGGATGTGATTCCATGAAACTCAGATTAGAGATATTCAACAGCTAATGGAACAAAAAATATATATATATATATATATATATATATATATATATATATATAAAATTTTACTTAAAAATATTGATCAAATCACACAACTTAAAAACAAATTTGGAAGGCACTCAGTCCTCAAATTTACACTAGAAGTCAACATTAATAATAAAAATTCTATTCCTTGATGTACTTATTGATTCCAGCATACATAAATTTATGGATAGTGGCTCAGATTATGGAATTGGAGAGGCGAGTTCAAATTCCAGGCAAATCCATTACTTCATTTATGTCCTAATACCCTTGAGAAAGGCATGAATTCTCTTCTTCCCCCAGCTAAGGGTAAATAGCAAGACAGACCGGGTTGTATAGCCTTGGATGGCAACTGGTCTATCAAAGAAAGAAATGGCAACCTACTGCAGGAAAAAAAAAACTGATTCGTCAGTCATGTATCAAAAGATATATGATCACCTAAGCATGTATCACACATGGCACATAACTGACTGACTGTATAGAAA